TGGTTAAATAATCTCACCTGGCTTTAGGCAGCTTCTTAATATTCTGGTGAGGATTCAACAGGAGTAACAAGAACTCAAAAAAGAGATGAATGCACTCACTTGTTCTTCTGTTCCTGACCACAAAGAAAAAAGGATGATCCACTATAACTTGGGGGTACAGCACGGCCATCCTGCTTATGGCTATCATTCCTGGGGAGAGACGACAAAGGGGCAACCTTTGAAATATCCCACCAATGTCCTTGTATCCCCCACTCTTCTTCTGTGTCACACCATTAAGAACACATGTAAAGACAGCGCAAAACGGGAAATCTGAAGAAACACACACCACAACTCTTCTGTGCAAGCGCAGGCTGTCAACAAGACACACAGCTAGCAATCTCGTCTTAAAATGAAAAGAGACTTGCAAAGAAATGGATGTGCTGAGTTATGCTCTGGGAAAGATTAACAACTGGCAGTGGCACCATTTATTTCTCACTGCTGGGGGAACGGCTTATAACTTACAAAAAGAGGCAGAACTTTGAGAGAGAGAGTTATGATGGCCATTCCCTTTCAACCTAGGAAATGCATTGTGTTCGACAGTCCCACCACCCACATGCTAAGCAGTGGCAGAAAGCATTGGGCAAACGTGGAAACCCATTCACTCTTGGCTCTATCGGACTGTGGTCATTTCCTGCAACTTGCTCTGGCCTTGCTCCTTGAAATCTAACATTTGGGCCCAAAAGAAACGCAAGCTCTTGAATAGGTTATTGCAAAACTTTTGTTAACTTACTCTGGTTACAGTCATTAAGTGTGCATAGGACTTGTGGGCTTACGGTTGGAAATAATCACACCACTGTGTGCAGTGTTTACTTTGCAGTGTTTACCCTCAGCAAGAGACAAGATTCTTCTTTAGGAGTTGGTGCAGATGTGATGCTAAAAGGACCCCTGACAGTTAAGTCTAGTCGCAGACGACTCTGAGGTTGCGGGGCTCATCTCGCTTAACAGGCCAAGGGAGCCGGTGTTTGTCCGCAGACAGTTTTTCTGAGTCATGTGGACAGCATGACTAAGCCACTTCTGGTGAAACCAGAGCAGCACACGGAAACACCGTTTACCTTCCTGTCGGAGTGGTACCTATTTATCTACTTGCACTTTTTGGTGTGCTTTCGAACTGCTAGGTTGGCAGGAGCTGGGACCAAGCAACAAGAGCTCACCCCGTCGCGGGGATTCAAACCGCCGACCTTCTCATCAGCAAGCCCAAGAGGCTCAGTTGTTTAGACCACAGCGCCACCTGCTAACCACAGTGAGCAAATGGAGAGTTGTCCTTATGAAGGCGGAGTCACTCTCCCCAGCTCTTCTTAACGGCGTAAGAAAAATGCTGGGTGCAGTCCAGCATCCTGGTCTTTTAGTGGCCAAATAGATGCCTCTTGGAAGCCCCCACACTGGGCATGAAGGCAATAGACCCTGCTTGCTGCTGTTGCTTTCCCCCATAGGAAGTAGTCTTCAGAGGGATGTTGCTTCTCAACCTGGAGGCTGCATATAGTCATCATGACCCATAACCACCGATAGATTTATCTGTCAAGAATTTGCCTAATCCCCCATTGAGAGCCACTTAAGTTAGTGGCAACCACCACATATGGCGCCAGCAAATTGCATTAAGAATTTATGTGCTATGTAATCTGATAGGTCCTTTAGACTGAAATGAATCTCCTGCCAATCAGTTTTGTCGGGCGGAGCTAATTCCTACCAACCCAGTTGACTATGCATGGTTAAGCAATCTGTCAACACCAACATTAATAAAGGTCAAGGCTAACAAGGGCTTCCCTTAACCCTTGATTTGAAACCCACGTCTGATTGCACCTCCAGATCCCGGCTTAAGGGCTAATGGTGGCATGCTTTAGCCATGGTTCCAGAGGATGGTTTAAAGGCACATAAGACCACCGCCTTCCTGAAGCAAAGCAAAGTTTGGAAAACGTCAGTGCCTAGATGGGGAGACTGCCTAGGAATGACATGTGCACTACCTTGGGGTCCATGATAGAAGAAGGGTGGTTCTAAAGTAAACAAAAAATAAAATAAAATGATAGCGCCAATTAAGAAGGGTGATTTACAGGGCAGAAAGATAGTCAAAGCTGGGGGGAAATATGGGAGAATCATATGTTGAAAATGTTGCCTATAAGAATAAAATAAAATTATTATAAATTAGTTTGGAGATCTTATCTAACACCAGTCAGATTAAATCAAATAAACAAGGAATATTTGGTGTTATGTTGGAGGGGATGCCAGGAAACTGGGAATTATGTTCACATGTGGTGGGGGTGTAAATATGTACCATTTTTCTGGCAAAGGGTGTTCAAGGAGATAACAGAAATCGCTGGGTTAAAGCTGACCAAAAGTCCAGAGGTAGCATTATTATCAATTTATGATGAGGTGGAAGGTTCTCAGGCTACGAAGGACATGCTCACAAATTTATTGACAGCTGCACAAATTATGACAGCTAGGAAGTGGAAGGGGCAAGCAGAATATAAAATGTAAGAATGGTATAAAGAGGTGTGGGGATATAGCTATTAATGATAAATTAACATGTGCCATTAAAGTAAGATGGGGAATACACAGGAGAAATGATTTTGAGGAGATATGGAAGGTGTTTGTAGAATTTGTACTGTTAAAACAGAAAGGGGTCAAACCATCGCAAGAGGTGGGAGGTTGGATAGTTACAATGGAATGGTCTTGGTGGTGGGGCGCATATTTCTATTCTTATTTATTTATGATTATTACTTTGTCAAAAGAAAAAGAAAAACAGAGGGAGAAAAGGGGGGGGGGAAGAAGGGTGATTTGGCAAAGGGCAGGATTTGCTCCAGGATGGCTGGCCTCAGTGTGAGAGGTGAGGTGTTGCTCCCATTCATTGGAACTGGGGTGGGGTGGGCAGGATGACGATGGGGATGTACTAGGTGTTAGTTTCTGTTTCTCACTGAGCAGCTGCTTGGAGTCACAGGACTCTGTTTACGTTCCAGAGACCTTCCAGTCTCACGGGAAAGGAGACAGGATGTGACGTTAGTGGTTTCCTGTTTCCTTTGTTCAGTTGCTCTTTGCTTTCGAAGAGAGAGGATGCACTTTTATTTTGCTGTCTGCATAGCTTAGAAATAAAGCATAGCATGTAGCCAAACCTCTCGTCTCTTCCCTGTGCTGGGAACTCTGCTGGATGAAGAATGTGCCTTGGAGCCTCATCAAGGATTGAGGTCGTTAATTATTCGTCGGAGGCGATTCCGGAGACTCGGCCCAAAGATGAGGCTTTATCAACTTGGCCGAGTGGAGATTCCGACATTAGGTTGGTGGGGCTGCAGGTGGGCACAGGTACAGGTGCCCCCCCACCTCCCTCACCAACACTCTGCCCCACACCATAGGAGGGTGTCTCATGTACCATCGCTATATAGGGCTTCTTCCCAGTTGGTGAACAGGGAACCACTGTCCCATGTGCACCGAGTCCTATTTGTCCCAGTGGAAACCTCTGTTTTTGTTGCAGAAGCTACAGCCAAGGAAGAACCAGGGTGTCCTGGTGGAGATAACAGATGGATAGGCACTTTGAGGAGCTGAATAGGAGGCTGTACTGGGGGAGAACAGACAGAAATGGCTGAACATTTGTATTCCTGAGGGAGAGGTCCAACAGCACGCAGAATTGATTTTTAACACCCGGGACATGAAAGGAACATTGTAGGCCGAACATATTAGTAGAGAGGCAGGGTTTGATCTTAATAAAATTTGGAAATATTTTATGACTGCTCCCTTGAGCTTTGCATTTTCCAAGGGTTTCATTAACTTTTATTGAGTTGATATGTGAAAAAAACCCAGCAACAATAAACCTGAGTAAATAAAATGTCCATGCATGCCCAGGCATGAGAGTAATCCTCACTTGGAACAGTTTGGGGAAAGTAGTTTTTCAGCCAGAATTATAGCTGTACAGGGGGCTTGCCGCAAAGATTATTTCTTTTTCTCCTAATGAAATAATTGGACCTGGGGAGATCAAGTCAAACCACAGAAGAAACAGAAATGGATTTGCTGGTGGGAAAAGCCAATATTTGCAAGTGACAATCAAACAGTTCTACCATCTGGTCCTTCCGTAACAGTTAGAAAGCTGGTCTCCCCCCCCCCCCTTATTCATATACAATGCCTTTATCCAAACGCAACTGAATTCTTGCACTATTTCCAGCTTACTTGGAAACAAAAAGTTCTGACTCCAATCCAATATTTTGCTATACAGCAGCAACAGAGCACAGGTTCCAACTTTATGAATAGCTCTCAGACCACCATCTATTGCCTAGTAGTGCTGTGCGTGGGTCCTCTGATGATTTAGGGCCTCATCTGACACTTCTCCCTGCTGCCTCTTCAACTGCATGTTTAAAACCCTAATTGACCACACAGTTGGAGGCAGGAAGAAGGAGACACACAGCTTGTCAGGAGTGCGTGCAGGAGCTAGGCCCTGTGACCAGTAGGACTTTGCAGGACTGGGGCCTTCCTAAGTTTGTTCTGAAGAGGCAAGGCGCGGCCGCACAGGTGAGGCCGATTGGTAACTCACAGCACCTGGTGGCAAGAGCTGGGAAGGGATATAAGGTCAGCATTTCCCTTCGGCTCTTTGCCACAGCAACTCGTTTCCTGCCTTGCTGCATTTGGCTTCTTGCTTCCTGATCCTTGGACCTCGGTTTCCTGACTCCTTGCTTCTCGACCCTCGGACCCCTGACTTCTGGACTGTTGTTCCTGCTCCCAACCGCCATTTTGCCCCCGGTCCCGACGTCCTCAGCCAGGACTTCCCGTGAACTGGACCGTGACACAGCTTGCCTGAGCTTCTCCTCCATGCCAAATCTTCACTGCCAGACTGCTCTCCCTTCCAACAGCCCCAGATCACTCTGGGTGGACCCAGGGAGGCTGCCTCAGCCCAATCCAGAGTTGACCTTAAAATCATAGAATTGTAGGCATGGAAGGGACCTTGAGGCTCATCTAATCCAATGCCCTGCGATGCAGGAATATGCAGCTGTCTCATATGGGGATCAAACCTGTGACCTTGGTGTTATCGGCACCACGCTCTAGCCAACTGAGCTATGCAAAAGACTTGTGCTGGCATGATTTGCTATCTGGCTTGCTTGGCTGCAACGCCCTGCTGTCTAGTCCAGCATTCTGCTTCTCACAATGGCCAAGCCCACAAGGTCTCAAGGATTCTCTGAGCAAGTTACACCCATGTCATTATCCCATACAACAGATCAGGAAGTAAGGTGGAGGCGGTAGCTTAAAGCCATTCAAGCGAGCTCATGGCTGAGCTATAATCAGAACCCAGAACTTTTAAACTCCCATCTTATGCTCCAAGCCAGTATACCCTGCCGATGCATAGCGGTGGTTCCTGTAACTGAGTCAATAGTTTGAGGAGGTGCAAACCTGAGGCGGCGGCAGCTTCTGAGCCTTCTTCATTCACTTCGAAGATAGACTTGTGAACTGCTTTTGAAAGGTGAAGTTCTTTGTTGTCTGGAAGAGAAAGGAGAAACGAAGGTCAGAGGAAAAGTAGGGATGGGTGTGTATGTCATAGTTTCTCATTTTTTCCAGTCTCAGACTTTGTTCACTCCATTTCAGCATCACTTTGCAGTTTTATTTTTGTATGTGTGTGTTTGGTATCTATCAGGGACTGTACATACCTCCTCTTCTAGACAGCTGTTCTCACCTCTTTCCATCTGTGCCGACCCGAAACATCTTCTCTGAAGCACGGCCCACACGTGTACCATTGATATACACAAATCTGCATGCACTTGTGTGGATTTCTCTGAATATACACATTTTGTATGCAATTTTGTTGAATGTATGCCTAATGCAATGCATTTGTGTGTTATTTCCACTGATATACACATTTTTAGGTACTTACTTTTTAGGTAATCCTAGGTTCACTGACAATCTGGCCTCCTCTTAATTTTTTTATCAGTGTGCTCAAAACACCCACATACCAATGAAACATTAAATATGTGGAAAAAAGAAACAGAAACAGAAATAAAATAACCAGTGATTTATTTTACAGTTCTTGGGCTTGGTATAATAATATAAAGTCTTAAGATTAATCCATCTTATTTGCAAAATTAATTACTAAAATCATATCTGTACTACCTTCTTCTAAAACCTTGCATTTGTTTCAAATGTTCCTTTCCCCTGCAAAGCTATTAGCAATTTCCAACTCTCTCTCTCTCTCTCTCTCTCTCTCTCTCTCTCTCTCTCTCTCTGTGTGTGTGTGTGTGTGTGTGTGTGTGTGTCTCTCCATACTTCATTTAATAAAATAGCATCAGGGATGTGTGAAAGGTTATTTCATATTTAAATATATATTTAAGTATGTACATTTCATCAAAGTGTGTATTTTATCTCATTGTTTACATTTAAAAGTGTATTTTATCCTAGAATGCACTTTTTTTTTAAAAAAAGGATTTTGGTCCTTTTTTGAGCCTAGATTATATCGCAAAATTCAGAGAAGTTCAAAATGCAAACGATAATTATACTGTAATCCAGTTATCGCTCCAGGAGGTGCAAATTAGATCACTTCACTAGCTTATGCGCTCCCCGTTTCTCCTAGTGATCACAATTCTCAGGGACACCTTGTGAGCTTGGCTTTTCCTTGAGAGAGACCATCAGAGATTTAGTATGTGTACTGTTTGAGTTTATTTACAGATGACGCGGGTGGCACTGTGGTCTAAACCATTAAGCCTCTTGGGCTTGCCGATCAGAAGTTTGGCAGTTTGAATCCCTGCGACGGGGTGAGCTCCTGTTGCTTGGTCCCAGCTGCTGCCCACGTAGCAGTTTGAAAGCACACCAGTGCAAGTAGATAAATAGGTACCACTGTGGTGGGAAGGTAAACGGGGTTTCCATGCACTCTGGCTTCTGTCATGGTGTTCCATTGCGCCAAAAGCAGTTTAGTCCTGCTGGCCACATGACCTGGAAAGCTGTCTGAGGACAAACACTGACTCCCTTGGCTTGAAAGCGAGATGAGCGCCGCAACCCCATAGTCGCCTTTGACTAGACTTAACCATCCAGGGTTCCCTTACCTTTTTACCTTTACCTTATTTACAGATATACAGGTTGGGTGCAGGTGGAGGAAGCTAAGCTAAAATACCCCCAGCAATCCACCACTCTCACATCAGATCTCTCCAAAGGCACTTGCTCTCTGTCTCTGCCCACATTTACACCATACATCTAAAGCAGTAGGTTTAACAATCAATCTCTCTTCAAGGGCAACTCCACGGAGCGTGTTGCACTGATGTCAAGTCAATTCAATGATTCCTTTAGCCCAGTAACATCTACTCTGATAGGTAGTGGCTCTCCTGGATTGAAGGCAGAATGTCTATTCCATCACTGACACCTAATTCTTTTAACCAGGTGTGCTGAACAGACACCCATAACCCAAATCATCAGTGTGAACACAAATGAGACCAAAACATTTGCCCATCAGACCCTAAACTGGGAAAACAGCCTGAGCATCAAAATCGCAATTTTATACACTTATGTTTTGCATGCCTGAGCCCGCTTAGAGGAGAAATGACTGAGAGGAAAATTCAGCATTTCATTTTTGTTTTCTCACCCTGCTAATAATTAGAAAAGGGGGAAAGTAGCCTTTGTGAGAAACAAAAATAAATGAAGCACTGCATTTACCACATCAAGCCAGAGCTCTTAAGTAATTTAAAGATGGTACTTTGAAATTATTGCTGGGTGCTTAATTCAATAAAACCCAACTGTGAGCAAACCTTTCCGCCACCACCTGGGATGCCTCTGTTACTCACACAGAAAAATTAACAGCCCTGCTGTGGAGCCCATTAATCTTCTCTATGCTTAATGCTCAACGTCCCTCTATAAACAACTTAATCTTTAAAACGGTGGAGGAGTTAATTTGGTCGCGTAAAAACAGGTCTGTGGGTTTAAGGTTCGCCTGCTGGTTTTCATAAGGTAAAGGTGCAGGAAAAGTATAAATCTCTAGGAAAACAATTTGTCTCTTGGATGAAATGCAAAGCCGGTTCAACGCAGCTGCTGATTTTTGTGCTTCACAGCCGAATCCTAGGGCTCACTGCATCAGCACTTTGAAGGAGCTAAATAAAGGTGTGGAAGTCGTCAGAAATGCTCTACTGGATCAAGCCAAAGAGCAACTGAGGCCACAGTTTTGTTGCTGGCACTGGCCAGGCAACCACATGCCTCTGGAAAGCTGGTCGTGGAGGCAAACCCGCTTCCCTTGTGGCCCAGCTGCTGGTTCTCAGTTTACGGCAGGAGTGGGGAACTTCAGAGCCAGGGGTTGAAATCAGCCATTGAGGGCTCTCTATCTGACCCTGGGCCCTTTCCCCCAGGCCACATGCCTCACTGGCCTTGCCATCGTTTTTGCTTGGCTGGAAGTTGTCCTTGAAATCTTGACACACTTTTTATGGGGCTGAGGACACTTTAGCCCCGCCCCCCCAAAGTAAGGTGGTACAGGGATGAACCTCTGTCAATTTTGAGGGGCTGGGCCTCCCCGTGATGGTGGAAGGGCCTTGTTGGGCCTCCCTGCATTGGGCATTGCTGGGCCTTTTTGTGGCCTTGCAGCCTCCTCTCAATGTGCATGACATCACAGGTGACATCACATGCGCACGAGGGGCTCCCCCAATGCTGTGTGGAATTGGGGCACCTCTGAACTCTGATAATGCTTCTTGCTTGCCTTGCAAAGAGGCATGCAAGTAGAAACTAGCTGTCAGGGAACTGACATCGGAGCGAGAGGCGAAGGGGAGGCTCCTAGATGATGCTGGAGAAGGGCCCAGCAGCAGGGGGAGAAACAGCTCAGTAGAGAGGGAAGCATTTAAGCGCAACACCAGGGATAAAGGGGGGCAGATGGGGGAATCGGAGAGAGGGCTCCAGGACTCTTCACTGGAACTCAGTGAGGAGGGGACAGGTCCTCCGCTACCCACGCCCTCCCTGCGCAGAAGACTCCCGCGCAGTGAGAGGAGGAGGAGACTGGGTGTCAAACAACTTTTATGTTGGAAGAGGTTCAAGAAACGCCCACTGACGGATTCTGCCAGTGACTGAGGCAGTCATGATTAGAAAGGACTGTGCAGTCAGAAAGGTTTAACAAGGCAAATTAGCCTAGAGAGGCACCAGTTTGCGCACAAGTAACTCATACTCATTACAGCAGCCTACATTTGTTGTCCTGCCTACTTTGGCCTCTGGCCCCACCCACTACAGACATGTGGCCCTCAGAGGGCTGTCCATAAGGGAATGGGCTATAAAATGTTCTCCACACCTTGAGAACAGAGAAAAGATTATCAGCAAGGCTTTAGGAGAAATTTCCTATTGTTAAGCAGAGGGTTTGACAGTACCTTGGTTGTGGAACGCCCTGGAGCTTGGATGTTTTGGCTCCTGAACGCCGCAAACTCAGAAGTGATTGTTCCGGATTGTGAATGTTCTTTTGGAACCCGAATGTCTGGAGGGGCTTCCGTAGCTTCTGATTGGCTGCAGGAGCTTCCTTCAGCCAATCAGAAGCTGCCATTTGGTTTTCAAACGTTTTGGAAGTCGAACGGACTTCTGGGAATGGATTCCAAGGTACGACTGTAAACAGATTGTTTTGGAAAGGCTCTTCTTCACTGGAGACAATGATGCAGAGGCTGGACAGGGATGTTGTATGACACTGGCAATTTGTGGGCCTCCAGATGTTCTGGGCTTCCAACTCCTATCAATCCCAGGCAGCACCGTTCATGGTAAGAGATGATGGGAGTTGGGGTCCAACAACAACTGGCAGTCCACAAGTTCCCTATTGTTGCTGAAGTTGCAACCTGCATTGTAGATCCTGCACTCAGCAGTGGCTTGAACTAGAGCAGCCTTTTTCCACCTTGGGTCCCTTGATGTTGGTGGACAACATCATCACCTCTGACCATTGGCCCTGCTGGCTAAGGATGACGGGACTTGTAGTCCAGAACACCTAGGAATCCAAGGGTGGGAATAACTAAGCTGGAGGACCTCCAATGTCCCTTCCAACTCTCAAATCCTATAGCAGAGGGACTTAGGATTCCCTCCGTTCCATGGGCGACTCCTACTGTTAATACGTTGACTGTGCTCTCCAGGTAGTCACAGGCT